GAAGACGATAGTCCATGAGGAAGAAATAAATGATTTAATATTGATTCATTTACTTCTTGTGAATGTAATATGTCATGATTGTCGTAAAAAGACGTGAGACAAAGTCTTCCGCATAACATCTGTAAAATCAAAAAACGGAACGAAAGAAAACAGGCATTGAAGAGAACATAGGTTGGGATATGGGCGATGATTTCCACTTCACTCAAAGAGATCCCATACTCCAGACATCGAAACCTACTTTGGAGATTTACACTCACACTTACATTTACAAACCCACGCCCTATTTTTTCTTTGTAAAAAAGAAAAAAGTAAGATTTTTGAAAAGCTCAAAACTACCTCTGAGATATAGCTGAAGGTTTTTCCAAAAAAATTTTCAGTCCAATCGGAAAACTCGATGGCACTATGTCGTGGCAAGATGAGGCCTTGTGGAAAACCAGAGTTTTCCAGAAAAATCGATAAAAATCAGCTTCAAAAAAATGATCCCTCGAACACATGTCTCGTTATTTTACATGTTCTAGCTCTGGCAAAAACTTCAATCCGATGGTTCGTACCGTCTTTGAGATCCAGAAAAGGTAAAAAAAGAGGGTACATTTAAATACTAAGTTATAGCAACTTACGTTATGAGTGATAACTTTATCGATGTGTTTTAGTCGTTTTAAAGCTTTCTTAACGTTTAATTGAAACTGAGCGCTATATATACTGAAACAGAATCTGAACTGGGAAAAAACCCAAAGAACAAAAGGAATGAAATCTAATCTTCACTGAATTACTATTGTTAAAGAGATGTCACTAAATTCCAGCAACCAGTCGATAACCTAAAAAGGGTGGGCGTGTGAGCGTGGGTGTGGGTGGGTGTAGGTGTGGGATGTGGCTGTGGATCTGGGTGGGTGGGTGTGGGTGTGTGGGTGTCGGTGTGGGTGTGGATGTGGGTATGACTCTTCTGTTAACGCATACCCACACCCACACCCACACTCACACCCACCCACACCCACACCCTTTCGTATAGAATCTATATCTTGTTTTGATGTGGTAGACTTTTCATAGAATGCAACAAACACTACTGTTGATTACTCGGCACAACAGTGTTTGATGATTTGCTGGTGTGAAAAGATGTTGTCAACATTTGCTGATTCATTGTCACTTCACCTGAATATTGACTTTGAATTTTTTTTTCTTGAAAGCTAAACACAAAAAACCCACTACTAAGAATCATCAAAGTGCACTATTCTCCATTTTCTTATTGAGTTGTTTTTTCTATGCAAATATTGTATTTTATAAAAAAACAATTTATTAAACAATCTATGAAAAATTGATTTGTTTTATATTTTTAATAATGATGAACATTGATATAGTATTTCATTTTTAGTTAATGATTTATTTTTAATAATTATACAATAATTAAAATTTAATTATTCTATTTAATACTAATATATTAAACAAATAAATAGTAATTAATTTTATTATAATGATAATGATGATTAAATAAATTGTTTGTTCTTTTTTTGTGTAATATTAATCATAATGAATGAGCATAAATTTGTTTTGTTTTATTTTTAAACTATTAATCAATATAAAATGAAGAAAATATATTATATTTTGATATTGACTATAATTAAATATCTAAATAAAATCTATATAATTTTTTAATATTTTGTTTTATTCATAAATGTATTTTATATAAGAAATTTTTAATAATATCAAAATTAATTATTTGATTTTGATAAATTTATATATATTAATGTTAACATTATTATGTTTATCATCTAATTTTAATATATAAAAATTTTCTTTTTCATGAACAATTATTATAAAATATAATCTATATATACAGTGCTGTGAAAAATTATAGAATCACTAGCTTAATTTTAAAGTTTAACTGATTATCTACTAACTTAAACCGATGAATAAAACAAAAACACTGCTAGTGTATACATTCAAGTACTTGAATGTATACACTAGCAGTGTTTTTGTTTTATTCATCGGTTTAAGTTAGTAGATAATCAGTTAAACTTTAAAATTAAGCTAGTGATTCTATAATTTTTCACAGCACTGTATAAAGAAGAATGTCTGTGTGTTTGTTTGTTTGCGATTCACTCAGTCCCTGTAATAGCTAGCGTCACCAAACTTTCCACAATTCTTTTCTGGATCCTAGGAAAGGTCGACATCCACTTTTTTTTCAAAAACAGTAGCTCCTTCGGCCAGAAAAGCCTGCCTAAGTTGCTAACCAATCAGATTGCAGCATTTAGTACTATAGAACTATAACTGAGCTCCACTTCATGAACACACAGAAAACATGGAACTAGAGGTTTTCGAGGGCGCTGAGTTCGAATCTGGGATCCATTTCCCTCCAAATCTGATTGGTTGTTTGGAAACCAATAGAAATTCAACTCTTAAAAAAACAGAGCCAAACACATATGCTTTGAAGGAAATGATGGGGCACAGGGTTTTTTGAGGCGATGAGTTCGAATCCGAGGTTCAATCGCCTGCAAATCTGATTGGTTGTTTGGAAACCAATAGGAATTCAGCTCTTAGGAAAACAGATCCAAATGTTTATTCTTGGAAGGAAATCATGAGGCGCAGGGTTTTCGAGGGCGGTGAGATCGAATCTGGGGTCCATTTGGCTCCAAATCTGATTGGTTGGCCGAAAACCAATAGGAATTCAGCTCTTAAGAAAAC